TCTGTTTCTGAACTCTCCACTGGGCCAATCACACAGCTCCTTGATGGCCCAAATCTGGGTCTCTCACATCCATTTCAAAATACATGCCCCCAGATTGCCCTTCAGAACACCTGCCTCACTAGTGAGTCGGATCCTGGCTGGCTTACCAGTGGAAATTAAACATTCCTAAGAAATTATAGTCCTTGATGACATTTTATAGCTTCTCCTTTCATTGATAATTGCCATTTTAGCATGTAACTTTTTACAGAATCCTATGCAATGTTTCTAGAATATTGAAACTGTATGATGTGCTATCTAAGAATTTGTGACCAACATTTTTATATGAAGAGATATACAAAACAAAGTAAACCCAAAACTTTTGAGAGAAAATAAAGGCTAAAACCTCACAAAACTTCCACAAAACTTCCAAACTAAATTAAGACAGAGAATTTAATGCCAGTACTATTTTTATTTTACTTTTTACCTTTTTGTTATTGGTTGAAGTAACTGTGATTTACGTACTCTTAATGATGGTCCAACATAATTCCAACACTATACCCATCACCTGTGTACCACTTCTATCTCTTATGAATCCCAGCGACCCTTCCTTTTACCACAACCCCTCCAACTCAGTTGTGTATATTGGACCTATTGTATGGCCTTTGGTCTTTCTTCCAAGCTTGCCGTGTATCTTTAAGTGGAACTGAATGACTGAGATCATTCTGTACCAATCTTTTCCTTCTGGCTGACGTCATTCAGCATGATGTTCTATAGTTCCATCCATCTTGCAGCAAATTCCATGATTTTATTCTTTATTAAGGACTGCATAATACTCCATTGTATTTATAAACCATAACTTGGTTCATTCAACTGCGGTTGGGTATTGGGTTGTTTCCATGTTTTGTCTATTGTGCTAAACTGAAGATGCACATATCCTCTAAAATTAATTTTTCTACATTTGTGGGTAGAGATGCCAAGAAGTGGTATTGGTTGTATGAAGTCTTTATGACTATTTTTTGAGAGACCTTAAACTTTTCAAGCCTATTTTAATTCTAAAATGCTTACTCTTCCCACCCACTTCCTCATGCAGCTCCAGACAAAAACTTCTGGGAGATAATTGTATACAATTTTTAGATGGAAAAGTTACTTTACATTAGATGGAGGGCTGGAGCGATAGCACAGCGGGTAAGGTGTTTGTCTTGCACGTGGCCAACCTGGGTTCGATTCCTCCATCCCTCTTGAAGAGCCCGGCAAGCCACCGAGAGTATCCTGCCCACACAGCAGAGTTTGGCAAGCTCCCCGTGACGTATTCAATATGCCAAAAACAGTAACAGCAAGTCTCACAATGGAGACGTTACTAGTGCCCCCTAGAGCAAATCAATGAACAATGGGAGGACAGTGCTACAGTGACAGTGTTCCATTAGATGGGACATTACCAAGTAATATTGTCACATAAGTGTTTTGAGAATAACTTTTCATTTGTTTTAACATGCCTTATGATGATATATTATTATTGAGTGAATAAAGATTTTTAGTATCTTATGCTTATATCAATTGTGAAGATCAGTTGTGATAATTCATTTGTGCATTTTGAGAGGAAATAAAGGACCAGTATAATTCCAGGTCTTTGCTGCTCTTTATGAAGAATAAAATTTTGTGAATTGAGCATTCCAACAAATAAACTAGTAAGATGCAACTTTAACCTTTTAAAATAGTATTTATTTGTCATTCAAGTATTAATAGAATTATAGTAGAAAATTAACAGTTTATTTATTTATTGGTTTTTGAGCCACTCCTTGCAAAGCTCAGGCTACTTCTGACTTTACACTTAGAGATCACTCTTAGAAGTGTTAAGGGACTATACGGGAAGCTGGCAATTGAACCTGGGTCAGCTGCATGAAAATTAAGCACATTTTCTACTTTACTATCTCTCTAGCCCCATAATTAATAGTTTAATAACTAAGATTAACTATGGGAATCTGTCTTAAATTTTGTTTAATATTTTAATGATCCAAGTACTAACCAGGCCCGACCCTGCTTAGCTTCCGAGATCAGACGAGATCGGGCGCGTTCAGGGTGGTATGGCCGTAGACTGGTAGGGCTGGAGCGATAGCACAGCGGGTAGGGCGTTTGCCTTACAAGTGGCCAACATGGCCGACCCGAGTTCGATTCCTCCGCCCCTCTCGGGGAGCCCGGCAAGCTACCGAGAGTATTGGATATGCTAGACACAGTAACAACAAAGTCTCCAATGGAGACGTTACTGGGCCCGCTCGGGGAGCCCGGCAAGCTACCGAGAGTATTGGATATGCCAGACACAGTAACAACAAAGTCTCCAATGGAGACGTTACTGGGCCCGCTCGAGCAAATCGACGATCAACGGGAGGGCCTTTATTAATGATACTTTAATATTTCAGAGTGTCACATATCTATTCTCAGAAAAAATATAAGTGGAATATGTGACCTTATATTTTAAAAATAATTAATTTTATCTTTACTTAAAAAATTTTAATACTCCACTTAGTAATTGACTTGGGATGCTACTTGAGATGAAGCAGATTAATGAGCTTCTTGGTTCTGACCAGAAATGAATATGCTTTTCACTGTTATTTATAACACAGAAAAATACAATATGTTAATTTTGAAAATAAAATGTGTATTTTATGTTTATTTTAATTTGTAAGTGGGTTGTTACTTTTCATTATCTGCAAAAGTTTTAGTATACAATTATAGAATTCGTATTTATAAAAGTTGATTTATTCTATTTAACTTATTTATTTTCAAATAATAAAATCTATTACCATCAGTAGTATGTGTTGTGTATCATTTTAATATGAATAATAATGGATTTTTGTTTATGATATACCCCACCCACCCTCTAATTGGAACCAAACACATGGACATTATTTAAAGTTTTTGTTGTTTTCCATACCTTTTTAAAAACCAAAGCCTACAATGGAAAATAATTAGTCATGTAGGTTACGCATACAATTTGATAAATAAGTAGGATAGAGTTTATTTTTAAGTAAAAGAGAAAAAAATGCCCTATTTAGTACTAGCTGTATTCAGTGTGACAAAATAAAGATGCCACTTTACCACAGTTGCTGATTATTAATGTAAAGGTAAAGGTAAAGGCCCTCCCGTTGATCGTCGATTTGCTCGAGCAGGCCCAGTAACGTCTCCACTGGAGACTTTGTTGTTACTGTGTCTGGCATATCGAATACTCTCGGTAGCTTGCCGGGCTCTCCGAGAGGGGCGGAGGAATCGAACTCGGGTCGGCCATGTTGGCTGCGTGCAAGGCAAACGCCCTACCCGCTGTGCTATCGCTCCAGCCCACACCTTTCATAGTGTGTTTAACCTTTCATAGTGTGTTAACCTTTCATAGTATGTTGACCTTTCATAGTGTGTTTAAAGTTGATGCTGTACAATTTCATGTTGAATAAGAAATCTTGCATAAATACAGTACCATTTATTCCCAATACTTGCTCTTTGGTCACGGTCACAGTCACGGTCCTCCCGTTGTTCATCGATTTGCTCAAGTGGGCCCAGTAACGTCTCCATTGGAGACTTTTTGTTGTTACTGTGTCTGGCATATCGAATACTCTCGGTAGCTTGCCGGGCTCTCCGAGAGGGGCGGAGGAATCGAACTCGGGTCGGCCATGTTGGCCGCTTGTAAGTCGAACGCCCTACCGCTGTGCTATCGCTCCAGCCCTGATTATTAATATTACCATATTTATAGTCAATTGCTTTAATTTAACTGATGATAGACTCCTTTCTAGTGCAAAAAAGCAAATGACATCATTTTCTAAGATGACTGTTCTAGACTTATATACTAACTAAGACTTCCATAACATATTAAGCAATCTGTCGTTCTAAGGCTTTTGTTTCTCATTAAAAAAAAAGAAAAAAAAACTAGAAAGGGCATAAGGGATAGTACAGCAGTAGGACATTTGCCTTGGGGATGGCTGAACTATCTCAACCCTAGCATCCCATATGGTTCCTTGAGACTGCCAGGAGTGATCCCTGAGCACAGACGGTGGACCAAAAACTAAGAAAAATAACAAATAAAAATCTTAAAAAGCAAGAAATTGTGACTCAAAGTATAAATGCAATGATCATGGTATTTACTACTTTCAGTTATATTTACTTGCTGCTGGTCAGTTTTACCCTTTTCAAAATGTAGAACTCTTTGAAATAAAAATGATATGTCTGCAATTTGGCACAGTGCTCTTTTTAAACGATAAGTAAATAATATGGAGCAGCTATGAAACCCTTTTTTAACATATAGCCTTTTTTTAGCAATATAACTAATATGAAGTTTGTTTCTCACAGTGATGCACATATACAAATATATTTCTCTATATATATATTCCTAGAAAATTATATCCCAAGTGAAATAGATTTCTTAAGACAAAATATAAGTAAGTATTTATTCCATTATGGGGTGGCAGAATGCAACATTTGACTATTCTTGTATCTAGTCACTCATTAATTATGTACCAGTTACCAATTATGTTTCATGAGTAAATGATATTGTTAAATATATTCTGGATACTAACTTCATGTTTAAATGATAGAAATTGTGTGTGTGTGTGTGTGTGTGTGTGTGTGTGTGTGTGGTGGCTCCCAAGTGGTGTTCAAAAGGTCCAGGGTCCCACCGGTGATTATTTAAATTATTATCAACCCGAGAAAGAGAGTACAGCAGATAACGTGCGTGACTTACATGTAGCAAACCCAGGTTCAATCCTGGCACACCATATAGTCCTGTGAGTGGCTTATCCTGTAAGTGCGTAAGGCGCTTGCTTTGCATCCAGGAGTAAAACAGAACAGAGTTGGGAGCAAACAATTACCATTAAATCATTTAGTCCAAATATAAGTACTTTTGTCATCACTTCTTATAACTTATCTAGAAAGACTATGCATATCCATCTAGAGGTTCTTGAACTGGAAGGATAGTTTTGTATTCTAATGTGCACTGATTTCTCTTAGAGTTTATTGATACATTACCCAAATTTTCATTTTAGGTCCTCCTGGTCCTCCTGGTGGTTTGCGGATAGAAGACATCAGAGCCACTTCTGTGGCCCTCACTTGGAGCCGTGGTTCAGATAACCACAGTCCTATATCTAAATATACTATCCAGACAAAGACTATTCTTTCAGATGACTGGAAAGATGCAAAAACAGGTGAGCTTTATTTGTCTGGTGACTGGCCATATTTTGAAATCTGTTTTTTATCAAGGACAAAAAGCAGGAAGTTTTCCTGAAATCTTATTAAGCACTGTTTGTATGCTAGCATCCTATAGTGGTGATGAAAACTAGAGGGTGCTTAAACATCAAAGCTATTATCGGAAATTTCATAAAGCTTCCCTGCCACTGTATTGCTTCTTTGAAACCACCACTGGTTTTCTTCATTCTGATGTATAAGGAAAAAAAAGATCAATGGTAAGTCTTACTTTTGTTGATAAAGGTAATTATAGCTTATAATTTATAACCATTTTCTAATTATATTACTGTAGTTGTGCATATTGGATATGTTATATTCATAATAAATATTAATTTAAGCCCCTTAATCGTATTATCAGAAGTACCTTAATCTTACTGCTGTAGTATTTTGCTCTTTAAAGATAATCAAACTTCGTTCGAATTTTAGGTTTTATTTTGCAATTACTTATTCTTTTTTTTTCTATTTTAAGTTCTGTGATTTACAATGCTATTATTAGTAGAGTTTTGTAGATGCAGTTTCCTAGCACCCCCCCTCCACCAGAGTGCCCACTTGCCCCTTTCACTTGCCCCTTTCACAGACCTGCTTCACTATTCCCATCTAACACTGGACCCCCTCCTGTTGCATTCAGGTGGCAGCAAAATTTGCTTTTTATTGGGGTAATATTGGGTTTAAAGAGTATAAAAGATTTTGTTTGGAGGTTTACTATTAAAACAGTAACCAGCAAAGTCTCAATATTGATTAACCACAGTACATGGTACTCTCACCTATGCCCCCTGCTCCCACATGTAATCTCAGTTCAGAGTCTAAAATTTTCTTTTCATCAGACTTTTTCTATTTCATTGTTTAGTTTCTTTATATACCACATATGGTCAGATTATTTATATTTGACTTTTGATTATTTTACTTAGCATGTAGTTTTATTCATTCTGTACAAAAGGCAAGATTTTTTTCTAATGTTCGAGCAGTATTTTATTGTGTATCTTTATCCACTCAACTATTTGGGATCACTTCCATTGTTTCTGGTTGGAAATAGGCTTACTATGAAGATCGATAGACTTATGTCTTATCCAATTGGTATACTTTTGTCTGGAATTGAAATTCCAAAAACATCTGGTAGTTCCATTTTAAATTTGTTTCTTTTATTTAAATTGCTATTAAAATACCGTGATTTACAAAGTCATTGATAGTTGAGTTTTTGACATACAATATTCTAGCATCACCAACCCGTCATCAGTGTCAACTTCCCTTACCAGTTTCGCAGGTTCCCTTGCACCCTTCCAACCTACTGCATTGGCAGGTTTGGTTGCTGAAATGTGAATCTGATGTTTTCGATGTTCTACACTCTCTCCTTTGCATCTAGAGCCATAGCACTACTCCACTGATGTAACCAAGGCCCTTGCCACTTGACCCCCATTGCTGCCTCTCTGCCTGTTTATTTTTTAATTTTTATTTCTTATTAGTGAAACACCATGAGTACAGTTGTAGACTTACAAACTTTCATGCTTGGGTTTCAGTTATACAATGATCGAGTACCCATCCCTCCACCAGTGCCCGTTCTTCACCACCAATGATCCCAGTAACCCCCGCCCGATCCCCCGCACCCCGTTCTGCCTCTGTGGCAGGGCATTACCTTTTTCTCTCTCTTTACTTTAGGGAGTTGTGGGTTTTTTGTTGTTGTTGTAGTAGTTGCTTTTTTGGTCACACCCAGAGATGCAGAGGGGTTACACCTGGCTCATGCACTCAGGAATTACTCCTGGCAGTGCTTGAGGGGACCATATGGGATGCTGAAATCAAACCTGGGTTGGCCGCATGTAAGGCAAATGCCCTACCACTGTGCTATCACTCCAGCACCAGGGTATTGTGCTTTGTAATAGTGATATTGAGTGGCCATCGTGTTTGGTCCATAGTATACTCTCAGCATGCATCTCCTATCCCGAGCGAGTCCTCCAAACATTTCTTTACTTGTCGTTTCCTTCTCTATCTGAGCTGCCTTTTCCCCCAGCATGTGCTGCCAACTTCCAAGCCGTGGAACAGTCCTCCTGGTACTTATCTCAAACATTCTTGGGTGTTAGTTACCTCATTCTGTTACCTCATATTCCCCAGCTGAGCGCAGTCTTTCCATGTCTGCCCCTCTCTTTCTGACTCATCTCACTTAGCATGATACTTTCAATGTAGAACCACTTGTATGCAAATTTCATGACTTCATCTTTTCTAATAGCTGCATAGTTTTCCATTGTGTAGATGTACCAAAGATTCTTTAACTAGTTATCTGTTCTTGGGCACTCAGGCTTTTTCCGGATTTTGGCTATTGTGAACAGTGCAGCAGTGAACATAGAAGTGCAGGTGTCATTTTGACTATACTTTTTTGCCTCTCTGGGAGATATTCGCAGGAGTGGTATTACTGGGTCAAATGGGAGCTCAATTTCTAATTTTTTGAGAATCGTCCATACTGTTTTCCAAAAGAACTAGGCCAATCAGCATTCCCACCAGCAGTGTAGGAGAGTCCTTTTCTCTCCACACCCACGCCAACACTGGTTGCTTTTGTTCTTTTGGATGTGGGCCAATCTCTGTGGTATGAGATGATATCTCATTGTTGTTTTGATCTGCATCTCCCTGATGACTAATGACGTAGAGCATTTTCTCATGTGCCTTTTATCCATTCGGATTTCTTCTTTGAGAAAGTTTCTGTTCATTTAGTCACCTCATTTTTTTGATGGAGTTGAATGTTTTCTTCTTGTGGAGTTCAACCAGTGCTTTGTAAATCCTTGATATCAACCCCTTATTGGATGGGTATTGGGTGAATATCCTTTCCCATTCTGTAGACTGTCTTTGTATTTTGGTCACTATTTCTTTTGAGGTGCAGAAGCTTCTTAGTTTAAGATAGTCCCATTTGTCTACCTCTGTTTTAACTTGCTCGGCCAGTGGCATGTCATCTTTGAAGATACCGTTAGCTTCAATGTCGTGGAGGGCTTTGCCAACTTTGTCTTCAGTGTACCTTATGGATTCCGGCCTGATGTTGAGGTCTTTAATCCATTTTGATCTTACTTTTGTACATGGTGTTAGGTTGAGATCTGAGCCTATTTTTTTGCATGTAGCTGTCCAGTTTTGCCAGCACCATTTATTAAAGAGGCTTTCCTTGCTCCACTTCACATTTACTGATCCCTTATCAAAGATTAGATGATCATATATTGGGGGGGGGAGGTCAGGATATTCAACCCTGTTCCATTGGTCTGCAGCTCTGCCTTTGTTCCAGTACCGTGCTCTTTTAATTATCAACACTTTGTAGTAGAGTTTGCTCTTGGGGACGTTGATTCCTCCCATTTTCTTTTTCCCAAGAATTGCTTTAGTTATTCATAGGGGCTTATTATTCCATACAAATTTCAGGAGTGTTTGCTCCGTTTATTTGAAGAATGTCATGTGTATCCTTATAGGGTTCTCATTGAATTTGTACAATGTTTTGGTGAGTATTGCCATTTTGACAATGTTAATTCTCCCAATCCATGAACAGAGAATATATTTTCATTTCCTCATGCCCTCTTTTATTTCCTGAAGTAGCATTTTGTAGTTTTCTTTGCACAGGTCTTTTACCTCCTTAGTTAATCTGATTCCGAGGTACTTGATTTTTCTGAGGCACGTTTGTGAACAGGATTGCTTTACTCATGTCACTTTCTTCTCTCTCATTATTTGTGTATAGGAAAGCCATGTATGGAATTTTAGGTATTTATTTTATAGCCTGCCTTTACTATACAAGTCTATTGTTTCTAGGAGTTTCTTGGTAGAGGTTTTAGGGTTCTCTAAGTATAGTATCATATAATCTGTGAATAGTGAGAGCTTGATTTCTTCATTTTCTATCTGAATGCCTTTAATATCTTTTTCTTGCCTAACCGCTATTGCAGTACTTCCAATACTATATAGAACAGAAGTAGAGAGAGTGGGTATCCTTGTCTTGTCCCTGATATTAGAGGGAAGGCTCTTAGTTTTCATTGAGGATTATGTTTGCCAGAGGTTTGTGGTAGATCACGATCATGATCATCCTGTTGTTCGTCGATTGCCTTGATCAGGCCCCAGTAACGTCTCCTTCATCCTAGCCCTGAGATTTTTTAAAAAGTGCCATATTCAAGGCTCTTTCAGGGTTAGGAGAATGAGACCCATCATTGTTACTGGTATTTGTCATATTGGGTACGCCACAGGGAGTTTTCCAGACTCTGCTGTGTGGGCAGGTAATATTCGGTAGCCTGCCAGTTTGTCCAAAGTAGGAATGAGATAATAAGATGTCATGTGGCCGTGAATGCGGTAGATGGCTTTGACTATATTGAGGAAAGTCTCTTCTATACCCATTTGGCAAGGGTTTTCATCATAAACGGGTGCTGGATCTTGTCAAATGCTTTCTCTATTGATAAGATCATATGGTTTTTATCTTTTCTTTTGTTAATATGATGGATTAGGTTGATTGCTTTCTGAATGTTAAACAATCGTTGCATCCCCAGGATGAATCCCGTTTGGTCGTGGCGTATGATCTTTTTGATGAGTTGTTGGATTCTGTTTGTTAATATTTTGTTGAGAATCTTTGCATCCATATTCATCAGGGATATCGGCATGTAGTTTTCTTTTTTGGGGCGTCTTTGTTTGCTTTTGGTATTAGGGAGATATGTGCCTCATAGAAACTGTTTGGAGGGTTTCTGTATCTTTGATTTCTTGGAAAAGCTTGAGAAGAACTGGCAATAGGTCCTCTTTAAATGTTTGGAAGAATTCGCTAGTGAATCCATCAGGACCTGGGCTTTTGTTTTTGAGAAGACTTTTGATTACAGTTTCAATTTCCTTGATACTAATAGGTCTATTCAGGTATTCCAAGTCTTCTTAGTTCAACTTTGGGAGATTATAGGAGTCCAGGAATTTACCCATTTCTTCTTGGTTCTCTTGTTTCGCGGCGTACAGACTTTCAAAGTAGTCTCTGATGATC